CCCCAAAACCCCAAAACCCCAAAACCCCAAAACCCCAAAACCCCTGTTTTCTGCACTAATATTGAAATTTAATATTTTCGAAATATGAAGTCAGTCCTTGCTACTTTGAATCAACATTTTAGGGGGAAATTATAGGGATTCTGGATTTTCATGTAGTTTAGACCAAATCCTTGGTGGACTTAGGTTAAGGGTGTTTAGGAAAAGCAGAAGAGTCAGGAGAGGAAAGATGAATAGGAGCCAAAGCCATACTTCACGTTATTTAGAATGAAAAAGTATTTATAGTAAGAGTGAAGTTTATCTATTTTTTGAACTTTATGTTAGAAAAGAATCATGATTTGGACCAAGAAGGATGTGATATAAAATAGGGTTAAGAAGGCTCCACAGAAAGTATACCAACCACTGAATCAACAGAGCTATACTATATTTGAGAATGATGATCCAACGAAAAACTACCATTTGGGTAAATGCTGGTATAATTCTTCAGGTATCAAAACTGATGCCACGCTTCAACAGATGTATAAGGATGAGAATACAAACTATACCAAAAACCCTACTCCTAATAAGCTATTCCGGATCCATAGAAGGTCTAAGAGTACGAATTTGTATAAAATTTAGGCACAATTCCCAAAACAGCGGCAGATAATTCAAAGGTAAATTTTCCCAAATACATGTTCTAACATTGTTGGTTTAGGCAAGAATGTTAGAAACCAAGAAGGAAATCAGGAGGTCTCGCTTCAACATCTTTCTTAAAAGATTTGATAATTCCTTGAGCAAATACTACAAGAGAATTAAGTTAAAATAAAAATGAGAGCAGCCAAGGATGGGAAAGCCCTTTCATGTCTTATAAGAGCTGCCAGAAGCATCAGAGGTATCCAGAGTGATATCTAAATAGCATAGATCTTATCTTGGCAAGAACAAGAGTAAATAATATTGAAAGAACTCAGGAAAAGATCGATAACAATAACTCCATTGCTCCTGGGTATATTCAAAGAAGGAATTTTAGTAATTTTACTCTGAATTTTAGGCCGTTTTAAGGAGAGAATATGCAGACCGTATTATAAAGGCGGAAGAATAAACATCCCAGTCTTACAAAAGCAAATAGAAGCTAGTATAAAAGATAATAGTCTGAAGCTTGCAGATCGTAATTTTGATGTTAATTTGATAGTCAATTCTATTCAAAGTCCTAACCCAAAATTCTTTAATGAAAAGATTGATGAGGCTAATAGCATTTCACGCTTATACCAGATTCGACCATGCATTTGGCCAGGTACATTTGTTATCAAAATTATAGGGAAAGACGTTTATTAAGACAAGTGTGCCATTTTAGTAATAGTAAGCATATTAATTACTATATCTTTCCCCTTCAATCTTTGTTGTAGAAATAGGGGTTTTGGGGTTTTGGGGTTTTGGGGGTTTGGGGTTTTGGGG